ACACACACACACACACACACACACCCTCTAGCTCTCAAACATGCAGATTCTAAATCTGTAAGAAACTGTATCTTCCTTCAAAGCAGAACAAAAGACATTTTTAACTTGGCGCCCTTTCCCTGCATCTCAGTGACTCACATTTGCTTCACACATTCTAAATCAGCCACTGCAAGTACCACACAAAAAATAGAAAAATAAATAAATAAAAAGGGTACACACAAAGTCTCAAAGTCACTTTTTGCCAGTTCCTCATTAGCAGCGCTTCAATTTTAAAAACACATTGTACAATAAGTCATATGAAACTAAACTCTTCACACACTTCAAGCCACACAAACACAGACACATACCCAAACATACCTTATGCAATGCAATTCTAAACCTCCAAAGGGAATTCCCCTCCGTTGCCACCTAGCATTCCATTCATTTCTGTTAGCACTGCCAAGGGTCAATACCCTATTAATGCTGCCACACTGTGACCCCTGCAGCTCCAGCTCACTTGCTGTTTTTCTTTCTACAGGTCACTACATAACTAGTGCTATTTACAGAAGGTAGTTAGACAGCCTTAATGAGGCAGTCCTAATCTCTCACATGAAATCACAATAACATACTGATAAACAAGCCAGTATGTTTCAGTGTTTAAAGTGTAGAAATACCACACAAATACAATACTGATACCATACGCTGGTTGTACCCCTTCATGTCTGTAGATAATAGCAATCATCAAGGTATTCCTTCTGGTCAACTTTAATACATGCATTAAACATACTTTCATAAGTGCTTTGATTGAATGGACTTGACAGGAACCAGTAAACTTTAAATGAAGCTCTATGTTCGGACAGTGTCTGGCTGCACAAGATTACATATGGTTATGATTTAGCATTTACAGCTGATTTGCTACACTGACAGCATTAACATCCATTTGTGCTGCTTAACTACTTTCACCAAACACACTGGCTATAAACTCAAATTACTCAACCTAGTACGCATTTATTAATGAAGAGGATAAGTGCCTACAGTATTTCAGTAATTCAGTTCCTTAGCAGGTGAACACCTGGAGCTTTGGAAACCTCCCAAGCAGGTCGAGTAAATTATCCATCATTACTGAGCATTTACACTGAGGCTAACAGTGGATTATTTAATGCTCTTGCTGAACTATGCAAACTTATTCCACATGGTTAGTTCTCCACGCTAAGAATTCCTTCTGTAATGTCAGAAGCTGGAGATGAGGCGTAAAGAAACGGCTGAGCCAGTGCCGAACAACTCGGCATTCCCAGGAACCCCAGGGTGTCTTGGGAATGCCATGGGCTGTTTTCCTTGCTGCTCTCCAATGTTGCCAGCAGGAAAAAAAACATCGCACTGAGTTAAACATGCATTACTGTGCAGAAGTCATTTATTTAATTTCCAGTCAAAACAGCCATTAAGTAAGTCAGCAACAGGAAAAAAGCACAAAGCCTACATTGAACATGAAATAGTGCAGAAGCCTCAATAACTAAATATAACAAATTTTTCAGCATTTACTGTGTCCACTAATCACTTTTATTACAGCTTCCATGCTTTCTGGGAGACTTGCTTTCAGTACTTCAAAGAAAGGTACTCTCAAGTTTAGCCCTAAAAATTGGTTGTACTTTCTGCTTCTCAAGATTCAAGTAATTCCAATAACCAATTTAGACTCATTAGTCCATAAAACCTTACTCCAATCTCAAATGTCCAGTTTTGGTGTTTTAATGTAACTTATCTTTTGTTTTTGTCTATTTCTTTTTCTCATTAACAGCTTCTTGACAGCTACACATCATAACAAGTTGAATTGTCTTCTCACTGAAAAAATGGACATGGCTTGATTTTCTCCTGTCTCTCAAAGATGAAAGCTGTTTATTTTATGGTAACAGTTTTGATGGTCTACCAAGTCCTACATGGTTGTTAGGGGTGTCATTTCCTCTAGATCTTCAAATAAACTCTAGTTTTGGAAACTAGTGAATAAGAACTAGTGAAAACGGATAATTTGTACTTAACGGCAGTGGAAATGAAATAAACTCTGACTTTTGCACCGTGCTGTGTATGCTGCCCAGACATCGACCAGAGCCACACATTGCACTGCTTACTTCACTACCATCCTCATTCATTCACTGTTTCTCTCTCTCTTTCTCGCACAAAGCGCTGTGGGCAATGTGGCCATAAACTATAGCTGGGGGTCTTTGAAGATGTTATCTGAACCACACACAGCATGAGAGACCTCCCATGTAAACATGTTTGTGTGTCTCTCTATGCTCAATGCGTGAGGGAAAACTGAGGTTGAGAAGAGTGTGGCACTGGTATGTGGAAAGAATGGGCAAAGACATAGCTGTGCAAACTCAGGTATGTTATATTCAACACCGCCCATCTGAACAGTCTTTATGGCCCACCGGCATTCTACCAGCCAACAGCTTCACTGTAATTAGATACACATACACACACACATACATAACACAACACAGTATCAAATGTCATACACTCTACTGATGGAGCTCATCAGTGGCCCTGGGGCACTGACGCTTTCCAATGACATCATGTCAGCAGTATGGCATAGACATGCCAGTGTCAAGGCTGGCACTGGCTGGCACTCCGCTGGCGCCTGCCTGCTGAAAGCACTTCAGAAAGATCAGATAGCCGATACACACTTCATAACTGTCTCGCATACATGGAGACATACATATATACATGCATCCATCCCTTTGCCTTTATTACAGCTTCCATTCTTTTCAGGAGACTTGCTTTCAGGTATTTAATGAGATCTGCAGGGATATTTCTCCATGCCGCCAAAGCTCAGTCTTAAAATTTGGTTGAATTTGCTACTTATCACAATCGAAGTATTCCCAAACACATTCAGTGATGTTTCGGTTTGGCGGTCGGTCCATTATTCTGAGAACACCAGCAGCTTCTTTGCTTGATTTGCAAATTGTCTTCTTTCTTCTTCATTTATTTCCTTTTCTCAGTAAAAGGTTCTTGACAGCTACACATCCTTTCAGACTCAACGCTGAACTGCATTCTCTCAGGACAGAAACACCTGTGGACTTTTTCAGATGTGAAGCAAGAGTGAAGCTTGATTTTCTAATCTCTCCCAAAGAAGAAAGCTCCAAGTACTGTTTATCTGACGGCAAGAGTTTTGGTGGTCTACCAGATCTTGCACAGTTGTTATTTTTCTCTATATCTTATTTTCTCTGCATGTGTTAATATTATTTTTAACTCCAGTTTTATAATCCCCGCCCACTCACACTTAGTTTCCTTTTACTTGTAATCTAATGTACTAATTATTTAATGTATTTAATAGCTATTTTTGCCAGGGGCGTCACACAAAATCACATATAAAAGTTTTCATAATGCATATGTTGTACTCTTGTAGAGTACTTTTAAATAGTATTCTGTCTATTAACTAATGCTTACACTTTATTTTTCATCTGTTACACACTGTACCAATGACCTACACACTTCTTAAACAGCGCATTAGCTGTCGTATCAGTGACTGTGGGAAAGGGAATGCTGTACTGATCCTTTTTTATTGATGTTATTTAAGATCCCAGTGTGCACGCACACACACACACACACACACACACTCACACACTCACACACTCACACACACTTGTACATTACTTGTGAGGACTTCCATTGATTTCTATATTAATGTAGCTACGTAATGCTACACCTACATCTAAACCTAACCCTAATCTTAACCTAAGTATCCCAAAGGCATTTTCTCCTCTTTTAAACTTTTAGAACTTTTAAAACTCTTTTAAAACTTCATTTATGGTGAAAAACAACATATGCTCAAATGAAGATCAAAAAAATGTGCTCATTTGTGCAAAACTGTCATGTTGTCCTATCATTGGGAGCACATGTGGTCCTCACAAGGATAGCAAGACAAGCACACACACACACACACACACACACACACACACACACACACACTTGATATAGATACACATTCCCACTGAGAGCTGAGCACCTCTCAGTGCCCTTGCTAAAGATAACACAGTTTTCCATTTAAACCCTACGAGCTACGCCCTGCTCTAGAGAACATAATAGAAGGGCGCACACAAGCGTGCATATGGTCAATTACACACACTTACACACACACACACACACACACTCACTCACTAGGGAACCATTTTATTATTTATATACATATTACACATACACATACAGTAAAGGTACAGTGGTGCACACACAAAATAACAGTGAAACATGCTTAAGCAATTTAGTGTTTAAACGTCACCACAGGGACACAAACACAAACACACTGTGCAGCCTGCAAACTCACACACGTGCAAAAGGAAACCCCAAGTGTTTTGTTAAGCCTTTGTGGTCCACCCTTCCCTGTCACTTCAGTCTCCAGGCAAAGGCACAAGCCGTGTTAAATGTTTCAAATACCACAGCAGACTGACTCCGATAGGCTTTGACCTCTTAATATCAACACATCTCAGAAAGCGTGGAGCAGTCTGCAATAGCCCTAACACCAACTCGTGCAATAAACAAATTTGCATGTGTATCAACACTTTTAACACTTAAAGACAAACACACATAAACTACTGATGCATGTCTTCAACTGTGGCGCCACAGAAAATCAACACAGATACACAGAGACGAATTCCAGGGCATATGACAACGATGACCAGAGCACTGAAAAACGCAGTGTTACACACGTGTCAGACATGTGTCAGAAGTAAACACATTTGCAGCCAATCAAATAGTCAAAACACCCTCATATACACTCTGTATTCAGCGTTTTGTGTTAAATGTAACACAAAATGGACAAACAGATTACACACTATGGGTCAATTCCCAGATTTAGATTAAGCCTAATTTCTTATAGTGATTCACTATTGGCACTGTGATTTAGTCCAAGACTAGGCTTAATCTGTGTCAGCCCCACATGCTCTTTTGAGAGTGTGTATAAACACACACACACACAAACCCACATAAAAGCATAAATATACCCCAAACACACATACACAGACACACACACTCACCATCCTTGCTGTCGGCTGCCTTTCTCAGCGCTGACGAGATGGCATCTGCAGGAACTCGAGGACTCTCCACGTACTTGGGCTTCCTGACGGGTCCTGCTCACACACAAAACAGAGGGGGGTGGGGTGAAGAACAAGGGAGTAAATAGAAGCTCTTTCAGGATTCCGAGACATGCATCAAAAACAGGCTCGAAAGCTGGCTCCTACTTTCCCTTCTGAGATTTGACAAAGCATCAGATTGACTCATGGGACAAACTTGGTAAAGCTCATCCAGCTTCACACACAAACACACACAGGCTGCTCACACTGAGAGTGAGACCGGCTTCTACCAGTCACACTCAGTAAAGCTCTGGGAACATTATCTAAAATAGGAAACCACCACAATTAGCCTCTTCATCCAGGAAGCATACAGAAACTGTATGTGTGTGAACCCACCCATAATTTCATGATCTGAAACAGTTTTACTTCTGGCATGCTGGAGTTACCCACTCATGTTGTTGTGTTCCATGAGGCCCAAAACAAGAAACAAACAGTGAACTGATTCAGGAGAGTACAGATTAGTGCAGCCAAAGGGAAGTTTAATTTGTTTGGCCAAAAAAGAATTTTTATAGAGATGTTAATGATTAACCAATTAATAGTTTACCAATAAATACAAACATGTTTGACCAAAGCATATGATTAAAAAGTTAATTTAATTTTCGACAAAACAATTTATTTTTGAGTAAACCCGTTTTTCAATCAACTTGAGGATTGTTTTAGAATTGTACGTATGAAGGTGCAAGAGCATAACTTGCTCTGGTAGCCCAAATCAGTGATGCACAAATTTGGGTTTTGTGGAGTGGACTCCAAATCTTGACTCCTGCCACTGGAGTTGATGGAACTGACTTAATTTTAACTGACATTGCCAGAGCTGTTGATAAAGGGACATAGCAGAGATTGAACAATGCTAAATGAAGTTTACAAAATTTTTGAGAAGCTACAGATCAGAGTGATATGATAAAAAATCCATGCTTTATGACTTTAATGCTCGGTTATTGGGCACAATATTTACCAAAATTCACATCCCTTGTTTTTTTGCTTTGGATGTTCAATAAGTTATATGTAACATGTTATATGTAAAGAAATAGAGTTTTAGATTAAACAGGTGAAGGCTAACATTCTGCTACATCAGAACCACACAACATGAGAACAGCACATAACGGAAATTTAATCCAGACTAAAACATTTCAGATTATATGGGAAAGCATTGTTTGTAGAATCAATTTAATAAGCAGAATTCAAACTTCATTTTGGACAGCTGATTATTTTCTTATTTCTTATATTATGTTATATTCTTTTGTATACAGTAACTAACACAGCCCTTTGCAATTCAACAAAAAATGAACTAAATTTAGTGATGCATCAATACTGATACTGGTATTGGGTATTGGCCCAATACTATGCTCATTTATTTGTGCTAGACCTCATAAAAATGCATGGATGCCAACACCTGATATCACGTAACATAAGCCTAGTGAGTGTCTGCTGCCACACTAATGAACAAACGACTCAAGCTGGCAGTGAATGGGGGTCTGCTCAGACAAAGAAGTCTTGCTGGAGGTCAGACACAAAATCGCTGGTCACTTTAAAAATTTTGCCTTGTCAAATTTCTGACAGAAATTTACTGTGTGATTTTAGCCCGTATTTAAATTCATTTTTAAACACACACATTCACAACCACTTCCCTAGTAGAGGTTGAGACAAGTAGGCTAGCTAAACGGAGGCAAAAAAAAACATTTGCTACCAAAATCCACATACACCTACTTTACTCTGTTAGTACTTGGTGCAGTGTGTTGTTTTGAATGAAACAGCTTTATTGGAAACTATGCATAGAAAGAGCTGTCTGTAGGGGCTGTGTTTCACATAGAATGTCAGCTGGACCAAGTGTTTTTGTACAGTGTGAGCATGTAAATCATAGGAGATGTTATATAATGGTCTATTCAAATACTCTACTCATAGTTCTTCGTTCTGAAGAAAAAAAACACAACCAGACACCACAGCCATAGACCCTTATGAATATATTGCATATTTACAATTAAAAAAATGTAATTAAATTGAAAATTGTATTAAATTACATATCCTCTCAGGTTTCATTCAACATTTTGGGCGATGATGGGTCGGTTTGGGTCAGTTCTGAAAAGAATTTTGTTGTTGAGTCAATTTCAAATTTAAAACTTGATGATGTGGTTCGGACTGGGTCAGTTTCGGACAGAATTTTGTTTGGGCTTGGACTCAAAACACAATGCTATGTCTGAGATCGGGTCAGGCTCGGCCAGAAAATTCTCCGGCTGTTTTGGAGTTTGGACCAAATTTCAAGCTAGTTTATGTTTTCACTCTTTCTTTGCTCTCCCATCTCTCTATCAGACATAAAGGTAATCAAAAAACGCTCTAAAGCTTGTACAAAAGACTTCAAACTTTGCAAAAGAACACCACACTTTTACAAAGTAAAAAGTTTTTGCTATATAGGCTTACCATATATGCCAACTATTCAGCTAGAAAGTGCTACACATACAAGCTTGTAAAACTGTGAAAGCTCACTCCTGGACATCCATAAAGCAGTACATTTTCCACTGTTTATCATTAAGAACCACGTTAAGACCACGAGACCCCAGCCACAGAGACCTGACCAAATAAAGTCATGAAGAAACCTGCACATGGTAATAAGGGGACCTTTTTGATCTATAAGAGGGTGTATTGTTAAAAGCTGCTCCAAAATATTCAGCTCCACTGTAATCGTATTGCATGGGTAAACCAAGCCATAACAATGAGAATATATTAACAGGTACTAATATATTAACAGTTGCTGTTTCCCTAACAGCTGAATTATTTATCTAACAGCTGCACTACAGTCATCAGAGTTACATGCACTCACGCATACAAATGTGTACACACACCCTAACAGCAGTAATGTGTGTTAAGTCAGAGGGTGGCAGCTGTGCTGTGGTGTCTGGTGTTGCAGACCTGGCATCTGCAAATGCATATATGGTGAACACCTTATTTACAACACCAATTCTAGCTGATGTACACTGCCATCTATGGACCCCTGCCATGAAGCGCAACACAACCAGAAACCACAGCCATAAACTCTTATGAATATATGGTATATTTGCAAAACTCACCAACATTTTTTTAAAAAAATATGCAACGGAAAATGTAAGATGATTCTCTGAATGAAAGAAATAGAGCATTTTCTAAATGCAAAGGCAAGACAAAAGTAGTGAGTGTTTACTTTCACATTCTCATTTCTATTAGAAAGCAAAACTATTGAACATGAGAGATAAAACTAGTGTACAAGTGTTTTATGTATGTGCGTCTGGGAGAGGTGGACTGTGGCTTAGTAAGGACAATCAATTTATATGGCACAATGTAAATGGCAGAGCCAGTTTTTTCAAAATGCTCCTTAAATGTCTGCTGCTCTCCAACACTGACAAAAGCCTCAATCCTTTGTGGCATGGATTCCACAAGATGTTGGAACCATTTCTTTGTGATTCTGGTCCATGTTGACATGACTGCATTATGCAATTCCTACAAATTTTTGTCAGGTGCACATTCATGCTGCAAATCTCCCGTTCTTCCACATCTCAAAGGTGTTCTATTGGATTCAGATCTGGTGACTGGGAAGACTGGGAAGAACACTGTCATGTTCATGAAATCAATTTGAGAAGATTTTGTGACAAGGCGCATTATCATGCTGGGAGTAGCCATTAGGAGATGGGTAAATTGTGGCCATAAAGGGATGTACATAGTCAGCGACAATACTCAAATAGGCTGCGGTATTCAAGAGATGATTGGTATTAACAGGCCTGAAGTGTGGCAAGACAACATTTCCCACACCATTGCACCACCTCCACCAGCCTGGACTACTGACACAAGATAGGCTGGGTCCATGGCAGAAATTGAGATTCATCAGACCAGGCTATGTATTCCAGTCTTCAACTGTCCAATTCTGGTGATCCTGTGGCCACTGCCTCCTGGCTGATAGAAGTGGATCCCAACACGGTCTTCTGCTACTGCAGCCCATACGCCTTTAGGTTCGACACTGCACATTCTGAGATGCTTTTCTGCTCACCACAATTGTACAGAGCGGTTATCTGAATTACCATAGCTGCCCTTCTGTCAGCTTGAACCATTCTGGCCATTCTCTGTTGACCTCTCTCATCAACAAGGAACTGCTGCTCACTAAATGTTTTTTTCTTTATTGCACCATTCTAAATGAAAATCCCAGGAGATCAGCAGCTACAGAAATACTCAATCCAGACTGCGTGACACCAACATCATGCCATGGTCAAAATCACAGAGATCACCTTATTTTCCCATTCAGATGGTTTATGTGAGCATTACCTGAATATGCTGGCCCATATCTGCAAGGTTTTATGAACTGCACTGACACCACATGATTGGCTGATTAGACAACTGCATGAATTAGGTGTAAAGGTGTTTCTAATAAAGAAGAAAGCTAGTTACCAAGTAGACAAGCTAGTGAACTTTGAAGGCTGACACCAGCAGTCTACAGACCTAAGTTACCTCAAATACCCAGCAGTTTTCCTGGTCCTGAAACATTTTCACCTTCCTGAAAGGCCACTGGCCAGACAAGCATGAGCACAGTGGTGCCCTACATCAAATGACAGGTGACTGTGGTCTTGTCATTAGCAAAAGCGGACACACATTATTTGCCTTTGCAGAACTCACTTTCTGTTGCTAAAAGGACCTAACTGAAGTTCTGAACTAAGGGGCAGAACTATTATCACAGGGAAATTCCCATTACAGGGAACAGAAACTAAGCAAGGTGGAGAGTTAGATAAGGGTGTGCTTTGGGAAGTCACAATATATCTATATCAATCTATCTATGGGCATCCTCTCAGAATGACCAGGACGTAAGTGCATTCACTAGCCCATATGTGGCTAACACTGTCCTTTACGTATTTTCACCCCTGGATCCTGATTTTGCCAAGTCTGGCCAGAGCTGGAGAAAGAAGTGTGCCACTTATTCTGATAGTTTTGAAGTACTTAGCAGTTACTTTAATTGCAGGACGTGGGCGCTACATGAAGAGCTTCTC